GAAGAAATCTACGTTATTTTGATGTTGCAAGACAATTTTTTACTTCGCAATTTGAATACCTCTTCTCATAGCATTTGATACAACTTAATGTTTAAATTCATTTGCTGGCGTTTTTTAATCGATATCATCTATATTTTGCTTGTCGATGGTACCCGTTACAAATTAATTAAATTTTAAAAAGAAACTACACCATGTCGTCGTAAATGGTTCTAAAGCATCGTAAATCATTCACTTATCCAATAACAATATGTACAATCCTATTAAGATCCTTAAAAAATTCGCAAAGAGAAGAACATTTGCGAGGCCCTTGGCGTTCAACAATAATATGAAACAGCGACGGGGACAATCAAATAACAGCAGGTGCAAATCAATTTTATAAAAATAATATTATTTAATAAACTACTTAATTAATAAATAATCCACGGTTAGTAGAGGAGATTTTTTTAAATTATTTAGAAGAGACAAAATGTCTATGCAACTTTCACTTGCAAATGCTCAAGAAATCATATGGTTTTTGCTACAAGTTGGAAAAACGTTGCTAATCATTTAACAACATATTTGGGGTTAAAACCTTCTAGGGCATCCTGTAAGGGAATTATAAAGTTGGGTAGTTTCTTCGGTCTATCTAATATTGATTTTTGAAACTTTATTACAGGTGCTACTATAGTGCTTTATAGATTTCTTGTTTTGGGAGTGGCCTTTTCTTATTATTATACGTAGGTGTAATCATAAATATTGCCCTTTGAAAAAATAATTACGCACGTCCGTGATAGGACCAATTAACGTTTCGTCTTTTTTGTTTTGGGGGTATGAATAATAAATAACGCGAGTTACTAAAGGCGCGATTTTCTATGCATACACAGTATAAATATTCATAAGTTGGCGTTCGTTTTGACGAACACCTCGAGTGATTATTTCTTGCTGACAACTGAGGGAATTATATCATTAATTATAACTGTTCGCATTTATTGCTCGTTACGTCCCGGGAATTTTATTACCGAAGGTATTTCTGTTGAATTTTGACCTAATCTTTGTGTAAATTTATTTCGGGCTATAATTAATGGAACGTTCACGTTTTGTCTTATCGAATTTATTATAACACAACACACGGAAAAATTATGTTTTCAAAAATGACAAACTCACTTCTACTTCAAGAATGCCACCTAAATTAATTTGAAACGGTTTTAATCTGCAACGAGCAAAATTTTATATCGAAGGCATTTATGCTAAGCGCGAATATCTCATTAATTCCGCGCCAAATAAATTGATTTTTTAAGGACCTCGCATTCTTTATTGCACCCTACAATTTATTGGCCTAATAAATAACGTACAATGTTAAAGCTCCGAACGATTTTTGCATACTGCATGCTGTTAATTGTGGAAGGAAATTAATTACCAATAATAAATACTTACTAAATTAAAAAGCCTACTACAGGATTTTTTTATACAAAACTATTTTTGGTTATACCACATATTTCTTCGTCTGAAACTTTGTGACTATTTTCTACCCTTACTTTATGTAGGTACTTTTATAATTTTTCTGTTAATATACCTATAATAATTAAAGTAAGATCAGGGACTGTGAAATTAGCGGTGACTTTCCGAATAAGCACATAATATCCTCGTAAAATGTAGTGTTTTTGTAGGTACATTCGATTTCCGCGTGTTATTTAAAATATTATTTTTCTAAATTTAATTGGAATAGTTAATTAATTTACGGTCCATTTCGTATTCAATAAATAATCTCATTAACTGTATAGCTAAGCATATAATAATCGATTTTTTTCTTTATTAAAAATATCTTTAGGAAATTAAGTCAGTCAGGTGTTAACATTTCCTTACCTCCCATCCGTAATTTAACATTAAGATTTTAATTAAACCTTTGTTATTTACATTAAGTGAAATTACATAAGAGATATTGTGCATGTGTTTTTTTGTTTTCAAACCTATATTGTTATTAAATATTAGATATTTGTATTACGTATTTAAAATTCGTGCTCATAAATCGGTGTAAGTACTACTATATTATTGCGACGATAAATTAAAATTAATACACAACTAAAATCCAGGCACTAATCCGTGTTGGTACGATATCATTCGAGTTAAACTCATTTAATATTCAAATGAGACTATTTTAAAATCAGTTTAACATGATGTTCGAGATCCAGATATGTGTTTTCGCTCCTTGGGGTCCATAATGTTTGTCGTTCCGTACGCGGAAAGTGTATATCATAGAATGCGTTTCGGTTGAACATTATAAATCCTACCGTAATTTTTCTTTCTATCGTGAATGTTTAAACGGACGCGTTGATCGTTGTTATTCTTACTCCATAAATTTTACACCTCCTACAAATCTTTTGATTAAGTTATTGGGACGCGCTGTAATTTATATGTGTATGTGAAGTACAAGGTCTTTATGAAGTCCTCTTACTCACGTAACCATATAGAATTTGATTAATAATAGTCCTAATTCAATAAGTTTAATAGATTACTAAATTATTGTGACAAATAATAATTTATTTTTATAGTACCTATGCCATACAAGTATGTGCTTAAATGATTATTTATAGAATTGAAGTACTTTAATAGTAGACTCACTCAACTTATTTAAAATTAGAAAATTCCTGTGAGCGAGATATTTCTTCGATTGGACGGATCTTTTCAGGTAGTTGCATTAACGTTGTATGCAAAAGAAGTCGCTTTTACAAGCGCACCGCAATTTCTCCTTTCTAGGACTCCCGATTCCCAATAAAGGAGCGAAGCCGGTTGCGAAAAATTTGCATTTGCTTGATTGGACCCGGCCCGAGCAGCATCGGCATGATGGAAGGCGGCTCGCGGGACCCATCCATCACTTACTTACCTCTGTGTTGGTTCAAAAACGGCCCGACTCCCGATCATTTGATGTGCATCGGGCTCATTGCGACGACGAGAGGTGACATTCCGTATACCGACGCTTGCACCTATTAACGTCGACTCGGTGTCGCTATTTACCGTATGAAATATTCGCTCTTTCGAAATATTGGTCTGCAGTCCCGTGCTTTTTTTAACTTGAAATTGAACTAGCTTTTAACGCCATCCACTTAGGTATATTGCATGTTTTGCAACGTGTGTCGTATATCATCGTAATATTTGTAAATATGTTTAAATCGATAATGAAAATTTTTAAATTTTCCAACTTCCAATGTTATTAATATGGTAGTATAATGACTCAATAACTTTAAGACCTTGTATGTTATTAACGTGACATATAGGAGGGTAATTAGTAATGACATTTTAAACAAAAACGAAGAGTATAGAACAGACGAAAACGATTCGTTAGATAAAAAAAAGACGAAGCAGAGGGACAGCAGGTCGTATTTTTTTAATTTCGCTTGGAACTGATTAATGAGCATCCGGCCAAACAATAGAAAACAGTTATTAAAATGTATTTAAATGACGAAGCGCTCGTTTCGAATGACAATTAAACTGTCTGGCTGTAATTAATTAATCTTGATTAAGGTACGGAACGATTAGTTCTACTTCGGGTCGCGAAGGTGTATTTTTCGAGTTGGGTTTTCAAAAACAGTGAGTCGGCAAGAAAGCGGTCCGAAAATGCCGCCGATGAAGGCGAATTAATTGATTTAAAAAGAAATAACCGTTGAGATGGAATTAATTAATTTAATTTTTTCATATCATCAATTACAAAAACTATGTGTCCATTAATTAGCGAGAGTCGTTTATCTTCAAATAGCAACCGGCAGTTTTGTTCTATGCGAACATCTTCAGGCAAAAGCAAATAACGCTGGTGTCAACATCACGAAATTCTAATACTTCTGCAACTTACTTCAATACCGCTGATTCACAAAATATTATCTACCCCTATGCAAAAGAAAAGAAAAATAAAACGGAAAGTTTCTCCTATACACGAATAAGAATCGTCAAATGTCAATATTATCCCACTAAGGTCGCAAGACAAAACAATCTACTCTCGCCGTGGTGTTTTTCGAAACAATCGAAGCATGCAAAGAATCGAGCCGAGCCGCCTCCGACTTGGTGTGCTGCACACCATAAAAATACCTCAAGTTTGGGTTTTTTGTTTGGCGAAGAAATCTCGCATCCATCGGACGAATGCGAATGGAGTTTTTTGTTTCGTTGTATACGGTTTATATTTCACATTTAAATTCGTTTATTATGGATATACGATCGCCCAATTAACATTGCATTCAAATTTACACCCGTCTAGTCAAAAATATTACTAGTAGGTATATCGAACAGAAGTACGGAAAAGCCATAATTAGTGTAGTTCTGTTAATTACAAGAAATTTCAATTTCGTTAGATATATATTACGCAAGCAATATTCCATTTTACCGGTAATTATTAATTTATTATGCAGTTTGAAAATAAAAAAAAAACAGTACCGTTAGTGAAATATCCAGTAGATTTTATTAAGACGCGTTTATTAGCAATATACGCGATATAATTAAATCATTAAACTGTGATTTTTACGATGTTCCACGTATAATACGGCTATTTCATCATACCTTTCACCTGGTCAATCACTAATTACAGCGATTATATTTACGTCCAGATGTATCTCAATGGTATGAGAGTTAACTAATGACAACCTATATATCAAATTAATATCATTTGCCTTCACTGTGGAGTCGATGAACTAAAACATTGTCCGTAAACTAATTTACTGCAATTAATATTAATGATTTACCGCGATTAGATGCAATTACTCAGGAAATATGGAATGTAAATAATTTTATGTAGAGCCTCATCGAAAAAGGGCAAATTACCAAAGAACTGAATAAATCACGTTTATCTTTGACTAAAGGATAGCGCGCGTTTAAATGACTTCCTAATTGTTGGTAAGTACCGTTGCGGAATGGTTTTGAGCAGATCTGTATTTGTAAGAAAATTTATTGAGCTTGCTTTAAAAATTCACATTCTAATACAGTGCCTTTATAAAGTCTTCCTATCCAAGCAAAGTCTGATTATTGTTGTGTTGTTACAGTGGTACCAATGCAATTTTTCCTTACTATCTACATCGCTCGCCACGAAATTCGTCCAACTGCATCCCGACGAAGACACCCTTCAATTTTTGAAGCAATCTGAGAAAAAATCCGATTGGGTTTTTACGCAAGTGTGGCATTCCCTAATCAAGCTCGTTTTCGGACTTTTTATGACCCAAACATCCATCAACGGGTAAGTACTTACTACAAGAATAATCAATTAAAAACTTTATTTTTTAAATATCTAATTATTGCTTCTATTACCGACTACAATGCGGCTATAAATTATATGCAGCATGAAAAAAATGCATAGTTTTAAAGGTAACATTATTTAAAGAAATATATTTCCGTTGGAGCGCAGTGCAAACGAAACAATGGTTTCGTATACGTATAGTGAGCATAACCACAAGCAATAATCGTTATTCTCGAAATCAAGCCACTTTTTCAATATAATGGTGTTTAATTTAAATTCCAATCTCAGATTCTGAACTACATCTGTGGCGATGGCGAGGTCGCTAGTCGATTTAAATTTGAATTAAATGCCTGTCTAATGGTACGACCGACGTGAATATTCGCGCTTATCTCGAACCAAGTCTATACTTTTATTTCTAAAATCATTTTTATTTGTGCATTTCATACATTTTTTAGTGATCTGTTCTTGTGTACCAATTAATTTTATTATTTTTCATTTATTTGACTACTAACTGCTTTGAAATCACTTTATCTCTTTCTCTTAATATAGAAAATTTATAGTCACTAAATATGTTTGAACACTAGTAAAATTTTCGTGTATTGTGCTGATAATCTGTGATGTTATATGAAGTGTAATGTAGAAAAACATCCGTATATTCGTACCAGTAGACACTGCTCGAAATTAATTCAATACGAAACGTCCATCTCGGAGAGTTCTCCGGTTATTAAGTTGGGACCGGCCAGCTACTGTCTTACGCATGGAATTATGATATTGATGATATCACGAGCAAAGTTTGAAGCAGTCGAGATGGAGAAAGCCTGGCCTTGACTCTAACTCTCTGGATAATGAGCAGCCTTTGTTGGTTTCAGACGGTAATCGCGAATTGCTATACATACATTATAGGAGTGACGATTGAAGATTTATGTATATTTTTACGCACTGAAAAGTTCTTCGTAATTAAAAACATTAGGAAGTTTTTATACGAATGACCTGGAGGTATTTTATTACACGTTTGAAAAATGCCGGACCATTAAAAACTATCCGTAATAAACGGCTCGTCTAAAATTTACCTGACTGTCATTTTGAGCATAACTAATTACATAATTACGGTTTTTTTCTGGTAGCAAGTCGACTGTCATTAGGCGGTGGAAGCTTACTAAAAAAACTTATTATTCGATAATTATTATTGTGAGGTAGTGACGATGTATTATTCTTTCTTGGTTCACCATCGACAGAGACGTAGGATTAACGCTGACAATCTGAAACAAAATTTAATAGCTTTCAACGTACCTACCTACCTAATTATACGAACGCACAAAGAAATGTTTTTACAAAAATTACTTCAATAATTTCAATCAAAATGTAATTATTAAATATTTTCTGTGCCAGTAGGTATCTTTAATTAAAGGAATGCGTTTAATGGCAATTAAAATACGTTGTACTCGCTATAATCGTGAACGTCACTGGCCCGATACTAGTGCTAAAGAACTATAATTATGAAAAATTATTTTAATCAGTTTTTCGTATCATTAGCGTTCTTTCTTACAAACCTGGCTTTTTCTTGGTTCTTTTGCCCGGCTATCCAGATGTCTCACAATGTTGAAAATGGTACGCGGCCGTTCTTAATTGAAATTACTGTTTCGGAATTAATTTATAATTAAGCGCAATAATTTATATCGTCGGTAATTTATTGGGCAATTTCGAATATTATTTTTGTGACATTCACGACGCATCAGCACAATATCTTTTATAAATTCTAATTGCTTCCATTGAATACGGTATACCGTTAATTTAGATTGCAAGCGATAAAATTATCAACAAGACGAATTAATATTATGGTATATAGGTAATAATTAATGCGATAATGTATATGAAGTTTCCTTATTTACTCACTGCTTGAAGTTTCAATTAATAATTTTTTTATTAAACGATTGAATGGGTTACAGGTACATTTATGTATCTATTAAACAAAAATATAAATAGGTGTATTTTTTATTTCTGATGCTTCAATCCAGTGTAATGCATTTGAATTTACAGGAAACTAACGGTATAGCAAAACTATAGCAGTATTTTTTACTCTAATAATAAGTTGGTAATACTGTTAATTGTCTCTCATGTTTTAATTTCGATAAAGAATGTTCATTGTCGATGACAATTTTAAGCTACTCGTTCATTTGAGATCGTAAACTTAACCATACAAGTTTCTTTTATTATTATTAAAACGCCCTCTACATGTAGGCTATTAGCAACTGAAATGAGTATCCGCATAATACAATACATCTATAAGAACTACATTAAACTTAACGCCGCGTTGGTTCTACCTGCAGCAGATAATGATATCAATAAAAAACATGAATTTTTAATTGAAATTTTCGATCACGGCTGCGGTAATCGTTGTTCGGGGCAATTTAAGAAAATTAAACCCACAGAACACAAAGAAACGGACTTTTTTCACCGTTGCCTTTGGAGTAGAGAACGTGTTTAATACACGGAATAATTAAAATGAGCACGTAGTTCTTTCAATCGTGGAATGGAGTTCATTTATCGCAGGAACTATTCATATGTATCGGAATATTACATACACAATTTTTAATACTAAATTACGTAATTTTGTGTATAATAGTGATCTTCGCAAAGTTCATAGAATGAAATAGTTTCTTCAAAAATTTATGTAGAAATGAGTTTAAATTATGATCCTACAACATTATCATACAATAAGCCGATACGTACTTGTAGAAGCATCGTCGGTAACTTTAAAAATTAGTGATGCGCGGTTGCGCCTACTTTTTTAATCCCGATGCCATTGTTAGGGAGAAAAATAATTATAATTTTAATTACGAGCTCGGTGTTGATCAAAACTGAATGTGGTTTAATGACTTGCGACATTTAACTGCATTCATTTTAATCGCTATGGAATGCGATCCCCTGATGTATCCACAATCGAATTCACTCTCTTGTAGAATCTCTTATTAAATCACGAAAGAGCGTTTTTAATGAATTTATAATAAAATCGTATACCAGCTAAACGTTGGGTTTTTTTATCATATTCTTTTCCAGTCGACCGTATTTAAAATTGAAAAAGACTCCTTTTATACAAAAAAATATCGAGTACTGAATAATTCATGATTGTCAAATAGAAGAAGGTGAATGCATAAAACATACATTTACTGTGGTATTAACAATTTTTTTCGACACGAGTGCTGCCTTATCGTAAAAGTGTATTTTGTTGGGTGGCAGTGCCTTGTTCGGCGTATAACAGTCATCTGTCATGTTTAGTCCTTTTACCGTTTCATATAAATATGAACACTTGATATTCTTGTTACCTGTCAGAAAGTATTATCGTTCACGATAACGAGTTCAATAGCAATAATGTTACCGTGCTTTCGATACAACTAAAATTTGTCATAACTGACCAGTTATTCAGCTTTCGTTCTCTGATTTATCGTATACATTTTGCCAATTATTTGGTGATCGATATTCCCGATGATACACCTATAAAAATACTAAAATACTTCTTATCTTCGGGGCACTGTTTTTGGAAAACAAGCCACAATAAAAAAGGATAACGTTGACCTAATGGCTAATTAAACAGTCGTTTCCAACAAACATTCATTTCCGATTACAGATGTTTTATTTTGCATAAATTTACTTTAGTTTATGGCCCAACTCCAGTTTGACTAATAACTGTGAATTAACAAACACAAAAACACAAACAGTAGCAGTTGAAATTTATAAATTACTGTGCTTAATACTATGTAAATGCATGTAAATTAAATTTGTACATTAAATAAACGAGCAGAAATCATGAATAGGTAATTGAGAATAAAAACGGCGTTTAATCTTTATATCATTACTAATTGGTGCATTACCATTTTTGTTTAATTTATTGCGCTCAATTAACGATCAATGAATTTGTAAATACTAATTTTCATTCAAGTAGATACTTTCCTAACACCAAATTGCTTTTTAAATCCCGTGCAAGGCAGCTAAATTAAGAAATTAAAAGCGCAGTTACTTTACCGGAGAATTAAAAATTTAATCTAAACAACGTTCGAACAAAAAATCTCATCCAATTCGTCTTACACCTCCGAAAGCGAACACAAGAAGCTGAGTGTTTAAGAGTTGCTTCGTTAAAAAAATTGAAGATAAAAAATGGGTATCGCTCGCCGTATGACTTTCGATCCAGTCCTTCTTTTACTTTTAGAAGGAGGATGGAGGTGTAACCGAGTTTCTCGTCGGGGCTACCGGAGGAATTTAATTATTCCTGTGGCGGCTGCTAACAAATTGTTTTCGTGGTCTCGTTCATTACTCATTCTTTTAACAAATCATCTAACCGTGGAAATAATCCTAATGCAATCAAGAGTCGCATTTTAAAACCGTCTCAAATGAATTTCTGAACTTCTATTTTTTTAATCCCCAATCCAAAATATGCATTCGAATTATTGTCATCAAGCGGTATAGCGATTGTCCAATTAAATTCGAAAAGCATTTTGAGAAAGAAAAATAAATTAATAGGTATAAATTGCCTTTGGTTTAATTATATCGTACGAATTTATTTATTGGGTTCATGGAACAAAAGTTATTCTTTTGTTTGGTTAAAAAGTTAACACCGTACCGAACGACACATTCCTGTGCGAAGCGCATAAAAACCCGGGTCGGATTTCACACAAAGGACAATGCAGCAAAAACGAGTAATGCCAGTAATATATCAAACCAATTAATACACGATTATTTATTATTATTAAGAGAGCTGCCGAACTATGCTGAGCGGAGCTCCATCAGCTTGCGTTTCACTATGCCAACTTGTTTAGCCTTGCGCAAAAAATTGCTCTTAATTTGATATCGTTCCTTCAGTTATTCCATTTATGTTAAATAAATTTCAAAAATCGTCGAATTCGACTATTAGCAACACTTTTTATTTAGTTATAAAACTGGATGCGTTCATAAAGAAAAGTATATTGATCATTTATTCGCCTATTTAGCTATAGACAATATTAAAT